TTGATGATTATGTCCCATCAAGTTCATGTCAACTTTTAGCAACCCCACAAATAGATCTTCTCAAGGATAATCTGTCCCAACCTGGTGTTTCAGGTCTTCCAATGAGGTGCTTTTCTAATTTAGTCCACCACCTTCTACTCTCATCATCCTACTCTTTTTTCTTCCATGTTTTCCAGAATTATAAACTTTTCAAGAGAGAGAGATTTTCACATAATGTGTCCAAAATATGATAATTTGAGCCTGGCCATTTGTGCCTTGAGTAAGAACTCTGGATTGATTTTTCTATATTTGTTTTCTTGGCTATTCATGGTATTCTCAGAAGTCTTCTCCAACACCAAATACTCTTTCTATCCTGCTTTTTTTAAAGTCCATTGAGTGCCTAGATTCCATTAAAATCACAGGGTTCCTTTATTTTTAAAAATTGAATTAAAATGGCATCTTACCTCTTAATATCTTTGTTGGACCTACACCTTCATAAATATTTAGGGTATCCACATAATTTTGTGTCTCAAAAGCAGTGAAGTTTATCTTAATAGATAGGTGGTTCTCCATACTGAAAGAAAAACATGGGAAAGATACCATATTAATTGTTACAAAGTCACAACTGTATTGCAATGGAGTTGGAATAATGTGAGGTGAGATTTTTGTTGCCATTGGTTGTTTCTAGTTATCTACCTGCAACGGAAGGTAGGGAAAGCAGACTTTCCTGACATAATCTCTCCTGACAACTCCCCAGCCTCATCTGAAAAGTCAGGGTGTTCTGCTGAATAGAACAGGCTAAGTAGCACATAACCTGAGAGGGAAGAGCCCTTCCTGTCATTGTCCACCTATTCAGTCAAGTCCTTTGATTCTTCCTGGAATATTTTTAGGATGATGGAAGGAAGAACAGTATGCAACACATGCACACACATATCCACGTAAACCTCCAATCATCATCATCATCATCATCATCATCATCATCATCATCATCATCATCCATTTCAAATTGCTTCCTTCAGACTCAAAGGGGGAGAAGGAAAAAGTAGAGATTCAGGATCCCACAGCAGTGGTTGGTGAATCTGTAAAAACAGACACTGATGTATAATTTGATTGAGAGCCTCTTCCATTTACCTCAAATAGAATCTGTGCTAGGATTGCAAGATTTAAACCTAAGAGTAACTATGCCATCATGAAGAAGCCCAGGAAGCTGAATGGCACAAATATATGTGGCTTCAAGGCTAGACTAACAGGTCCCAGATGTAATCATAAACCAGCTGTGCTTGGATGGAACTCATCTGTCTGGAGCATAAAAGCTCACACCACTTACTAAGCGAATCATTAGAAATTTTCCATATTTGGTAGTTGGATTTAGTGAGACACTGTCTACTAGCCATGTCTCCTGCTTGATACTGCTGTCTATGGTACCTGGACCAGACTTACTTCTTGCTTATTCTGTGTGGTGAATTGATTACCACTCTGTAAACTTAGCTGTCTATGACTACTGCTTCCGGCTTTCCAACCAGAACAGAACAGTATGTCACATCTAGATACACTCCAACTAACCAGTAATATTGTGGGTTTGCTAAAGATTCTTATAGTCAGTGCAGCAATATATTGCTTACAAAGGAACAGGACCTTTCATCTGAATATAACAATGGTTCCAAATCATAAGAATGGCAGTAAAGATAAGAGCTCAAGCTGACGTAAATTTATATAAATTTCGGGGTGCAGTAAAGGACCCTCTGTTTAACTCCTTTTTGAAATTTTCTAAGGTCATAGATTTATAATTTCCAAAAGAACTAGCTATGGTAATCTAATGCAGAAGGGGAAACACATTGCCTATTTTCTTTTTTGAGGCTGAAAGTCTCTGTCTAAGAGAATTTAGACAAAGAACTTTGAAATATTCTATAATTTTAGGACTTTTTTGCCAGGGACCGTAGGATTGATCCTTAACTATAATAATGATTAAATATTGCAGTAGCATTGCATTAGAAACAGTGCTTATTTACATTGCTATGTCATAGTCTCTGTTATATAAACAGAGTATTTAAAACATGATTTTAAATACTCAGCAGGCAAATATGAAATTCAAAACAGAAAATTGGCTTAATTTTAGTAACAATTATAGTTCCCAAAAGATATAAAAAATATATGTTTGACCACAATAATTTCAACATGCTTGTCAGAGTCAGTCTGGAAAGAGCAATTGAGCGTATTTCCATGTGACCTACAATCCTTTCTCTCCATTCTTTCATAGTACTTATGCAGATGGGGAAATAATCCATAAAATTATATCTGACAAGAAAGGAACACAAGAAAACTGCTGGGAAATGCAACTTAGTAAAGCACATTTGTTAAGTTTAATAAGATGGTGTCATCTGACCACAAGAAGTCACATTTTTATCAGTATATTAAAAAGATTAGTATAATATTGTTCAGGAAGAAACACAAAATTGAATGAGGAAACAGAAAAGTCATAAGAAAAGCAATACTAATATAAATAGGAAGGATAAAGAACCCCTTCCAGATTCAGGTTCATCATGAAATGTTGCTTTTTCTTTCTTATTAATTCTTCCAGAAACAGATGGCGACAACAGCACGTATATTGTTTGACATATTTGTTTATATCATCATGTGACGACTGCAAGTGTCAAAATTTATTAAAAAATTATTGAATGCTTTCAGTAATATAACCCAAACTTGTGAACAGTTTCTTTCTGAAACCAGCTGAATTGGAGTAGTTTCTTTCATACAATTTTAATATTTGGATCTGAAAAAAAATAAATGTAAATTGGAGTCTCATTAAAAGATGTTCTATTAAAGTCTTTAGGAAAGCAATTAATGTGGACCAGATTGACAAGTAGATAAAATCTGCACAGCCTGAACCCTGTTGTCATTTAGGAAAGCCTTTTCATAGCAAGGCCTAGGACAGTAGTAATACTACTAATATTAGTATTTTGTTCTTTGGTTCCATGTGGTGCATATAGTAATAGATATTATCTTTGCTATCATTACTATCTTATTTTTCCTATTTTTGCTATTGTTTGCCTAGAGTCATTTGGATGGTTGAGGTAGCCTAAAAATTGAATCATTAAATAAATAAGAAAATGAAGAAAAGACTCAGAGAAGTCAGCTAGAGTGACTTGCAGGAGACAGCTACCAGGATAGGAGTTCAAAATGATATCAGAGAATGCTTTGTTATGTCTCAAGATTAGATAGGCATTGCAATATTAGGAAAACATGGATTTATGAGGGGCATTATGATAGACATTGACTGGATTGCATACATTAAATAGTTAAAATATTAATATCAGGAGAAAAAGACATTTTGATTGCAAAAAGTGTCCAGGTAACATAGAATGTTATGAAGCATCTTACTTTATTATCCATCGACAAACAAGATTTGAACTATAGGGTTCTGGATAATGAATAGAATGGAAAGATCCAGACAAGCCAACTAGAATGAATTTTCCATCACAGGGTGTAGCTGTAAATACAGGATCAGAAAAAAATGGTTTCAGGATTTGATGAAAATAAAACAATCTGATTGTATTTCAAAGTATTTTGCTTTTGATTGAGTAAACATTGGTAATGGTAAAAACATGTCCATTTAAAAAGTAGTTTGAATTATTAGAAAACAGAATTTAGGAGCTTTAATTTATTTTTACTCTCTAGAGTAAGTTCTGGCTGGCTCACATGAAATTCTAATCATAAAACCAATCAATTTAAAAATTACAAAAATTATTAAACAATCAACAAAAAACACCCCTGCAAAATAATATTTCAAGCCACAAAGAATGCCTAAAGAGTTGAGTTACTGACAGTCAATGCCCCTTTTTATGTTACGTAACCCATACTTTTTTTTGTTTTGTTTTTTATGTATCTGCTTAATAAAATTGGTTCAGAGGTTCTACATCACTCTGGATTTTTAGAAAGTGCTACTATTATTCACATTTTAGTACATCAGTAGTTCTTACAGTATTTTCTAAGGCTGAATTAAGGCATTGAAGGTGTTAGAGTTGCTTAATTTTATGAAAGGAAGGCTTCCTGTGTTACCCATTACCTATATTTTACCTGAGATGCTAACTGATATACTGGAACCATTAAAATTATACCTTTCCAGTGCTATGTCATTCATACCCCTAGCAAATGCTGAACTCAAGAGCACTAAAGTAACATTATGGGGACATGTTGTAGTTCTTTGAAAGGAAATATATTATTTTGTGGGCAAAATATTAATGCTATGTACATTATTAATGTACAATCACCCATTCATTAGGTGTTTCACATGTTACAGAAGTGCCTTTGTCAGTTGCGGAATGTAAAAACAACTAGAAATCAAAAGCCGCAAAATGTAATGTGCCATTATATTGCAGATATCTTTTTTTCTGCTTTTTGTGAATTCTTCTTAAAGGTGCTTCTTGTTATTGTTGTTTAGTCGTTAAGTCATGTCCGACTCTTCGTGACCCCATGAACCATATT